AAATCCACCATAATTTTCTATTTGTTATTAAATTTGTAAAACATCTCTATAAAAAGAATCCATGTAAATGTATATGGAAAAGAATGAAGATTTTCAATAATATATGTATATTATTTAGAATGCCCCTTTTGAGTCGGACAGTCTTGGAAAGCGGGGATGGGGATTCTAATTTATGGTGAAAAGGGTGCATTTGGATGGGGGGAAATAGGCTGAGAACTACTGGTCAAAACTAACGACATCCTTCCCAATATGTTGTAACCATTTACATAAAATTTGTATTTTCTTGATTTGGGATGAAAACTTCGAAAATTTGCCAACATATTTCAGTGAAATTTTCACTTTGAAAATTATATTTGATGGTTAGAACTGAAATACTTTTATGGGCGGAAAGAATTTATTATTGCAGAAAAACGGATATGTTAAAAACAGAATATAAAAAGGAATAAAAGAACTAGAAAAAAGAGACGACATAATACATCGGGGTAGCTGAATACTTATTAGGCAATCCTAAGTGTACCTCGTCCTATACCACAGACATGTTCTTTGTCTCAGTTTTGAATAAAGTGCATTGTAAGTGCTTTATAAATGTACTGCTACAGATATAGTGGCTTTTATGCTTCACTGTTTTTGTCGATGGTAAATGACTGGTGAGTAAATGATTATTTTTAATTCCAAAAGCAAAATACACCCTCTTTTTTTGAATGAGAAGAGAAGATGAGAAAACAAGATCAGAACTGAAATGAGGCTTGTGGATTTACTCTGATTAACCAATTAGCTGTCAGACCTACGCTAAATTTAAAATTAACCTAAAAAGGGAAATTTAGATATAGAATAATGTATCATATAATAAATAATGTAAAGGTCATTCATGGTAAACATAAACTATAAGCGAGTGGCAACATTGTATCAATATTAACAACATTTACCGGCCTGAATGTCCGAAAAATTTCTTAGAAAATATGTCCTCCAACATTCAGGCCGGCAAATGTTGTTAATACTGTTTATTATAAACAGAGCATTTACTTAAATATTTGTACTTATAAAAATAACGTATAAACAATAAATATATTAAAATGATTGTCGGACTTTGTCCATTTCATAATATATGATGTCATTTGTTTATGTAAGATACGCTTCAAGCAGATATGAGCATTCGAGAGAAATCATGGTTAATTTGTAGTTTAAAAACAGTAATTTGAACATTTTCGCTAGATGCTTCCTCTGTAGCTAAATGGTATAAGACGTCAGGCTATATGACGGTTCCGTGTAGAATAAAAGTTTGATTCCTGTCGGAAGATACTATTTTTTATGAAATTTCTCGGACATTCAGGCCGGTAAATATTGTTTATTATAAACAGAGCATCTATTTAAATATTTTTAACTATAAAAATAAGGTATTAAAATATATAGAATGAATGAATATTTGGGCAGCAACTTCTTTCTTAAACATCTTTCGTTAAATATGGCAGACAAGAAAAAATTAAGTTCATTTTCTATTTAGTTTTTCAATCGTTCTTACGTTTTTGCATTATGGAAAATTTTTGTACTCCCTTACTCCTACCAAACAGAAAACATTAGAACGCTGTAAAACTAAATAAAAAATTAAATTTTCATTGTCCGCCATATCTAACGAAAGATATATATATATATATATATATATATATATATATATATATATATGGACCGGGTGGTTTGGAGTGTTGTTGAATTAGCAACACGTGAGTTTTATTTACTGCTAGACTGTCCAACTACTAGTTAATGGCGGACTCGACTTAAGTTCAACTGAAGATAATGAAGACAAACAAACAAGCAAACAAGAGCGATGTATATATGTCAACAAATATATGTATTCTAATTACAAAGCACATAGAACAGTTAATATTGTGTGTGTGTGTGTGTGTGTGTGTGTGTGTGTGTGTGTGTGTGTGTGTGTGTGTGTGTGTGAACATTTGTGTTTACTCTTTGGGGAATGTTCGTACGTACGTGTATGTTTGTAATGTTCATAGCGTCTTTCCAGAAATGGGAAACGCTGTCTTTTTGCGACGGCTCATATATATATATATATATATTCCTTGTCTACAATAAGCTGTCAGATGTTTTTTATTTTATAGAATTTTTATTTAGTTACTCCTTAATGGTAATTAAATTTTCACTTTTTCAATGCTCTTCATTTTCCTATATCATTGTATTTTTTTGTTTTTTTTTAAATATATCTATTTATATTGCAATTAAAAAAAATTATAGTATATATGGAAAAAGAAGTCGTCTGTTTAAGCTGATGCCAGGAAGGTATGAGTTTAAATCATTTATCACCATTAAATGCTTCTCGTCGTATAATAACAGAATCAAGACTAGCTACATTGACTTTCACAGCCTTAGTGAAGAATATTTATGTGCGTTTATAAATTTAAGAATATATATATATATATTGTAAAATAAAATCCTTATATTTACCTTGATAAGGCCCAACAGAGGACGAAACGTATCGGTAAAGAAAAGTTTTCCTTTGTCTTTATTCATATTGTCTTTTTACAGACATATTTTATATCTTAATTTCCCCCCCACACACACACACATATACATACATACATACATATATGTATATATTTATGTTTTTCAGGATACCTGTGGTTTGCCTGGGCATATCAAAACCAGACGGATTGTATTCCTGATACTTGGTTACGCATTACCATGGTCCGCGATTATTCCAGTCTCAATTATGTATACTGATAACCTGATTAATGGGAGACTGTAAGATCTTTTTCCTTTTTTGTTTCTTCATCTGTTTTCTTTCATTGACATTTCTTCATTACTTTCTTTCTTTGGCGTCTGGTCATTTCTTTTTCTTTCTTTTTCGCTTCTTCCTCAGTTTTCATTCATTCTTATTACCTTCCTTTCTTTGCCGTTTCTTCACTTTTCTTTCTTTCTTTCCTTTTACATCATGTCTATATCACTTTTCTACTTTCTTCGTCTTTTCTTTATTTTCTTCTTTCATTCTTTCTTTTTCGCGTTTCAAACCGTTACTTTCTTTCATTCTTGTTTTCTTTATTTTATTTACATTACTTTATTAGTTTACTTTGACTTTGTTTTCTTTTTTATTTTATCTCTTTTCTTCTTTCGTTCTTCTTTTCTTTGTCACGTCTTCATTTCTTTTTCTTCTTTCTTTTTCTTTCGTTTTTGTCATCTGTTTCCTTTTTCATTCCTTCTTTTTTTGTCGTTTCTTTCCATGACTTTTGTTATTAACTATCTCACACTGTGATAATAGATGATCTGCCAAGCAAGGTGAAATGTTGTAAGCACCTGAACGCAAATTTAATGTTGATGTTCTTACGATTTAAAGCACTTTGTATACACTTTCGTCTCAGTAAATTGGTTTCTCTTTTATATTCAAAATGTTTGTTCCTGAACCTAATGAAATTTTATTAATGCTAGTTTGTTTATTTTAATGATTAAGACTTTTAATGGTTAAGACTTTAAATGGTTAAGGCTTCTAATATTTGTAATCATTTTTAGAATTTGTATGTTATATGTTTTTGTATTATTTAGTTGTCCGGAAAGTTAATGCCGATTTTTAGTTGTTAATGTTCCATGACGTTAGAACCCGTCAAATTTATCGACCGATATAATTAGCTTACATTTCCGATTAGAGCAGACTTCAAATTATCTCTTGAGAAAGAAAATTTAAAATGGCTTAATTCGTGTTAAATCTGTACCCCTACGAAAAAAGAAGATTATAAGGCGAATTTTAGACACTTGATGCTTTTTCTACTGTAAAAGCAAAAATGCCCCGCAATCAACATACAAGATATGTGCTCTGTACGGTGAAAGTGATTTAGCTGACAAAATTGTATGGAAATGGTGAGATAAATTTAGAGTTGGTGATTGTAGACTTATTAATGAATTTACTCCTATCTTAACGGTAAATCTGATCGGTTCGATAAGGTCAAATTGGCAACTGATCTAGAAAATGAGCTACAATCTGTTAACGGGGACAAAGGGCTCTTCGGTATTATATCTAGACTTTATGAATTTAATCCCAGTACTAATTTGGCGGCAAGATCTCATCAATTCACAGTTGAAATGACCAGATGTAACCGTAAGTTCTATACTAACAGTTTCTTTACTCGCACTTGTCACTTGTGAAACTCTCTTCCGGTTTCATGCTTTCCAGCCAACTTTGACCATCAAACATTTAAATGCAATGTCAATCTACTGTCTTCCTGATTACTCTTCTATTGTTCTTGCTCTTTAATAATATTTCTCTTTTTTTCTCTTTCTTTCACACTCAGCAACCCCGTTTGTGTCTTATTGACTCTATTGCCGTGCATGACGGAATATGATTTAAAAAATGAATATTTACATTTAAAAAATACCGCGAAAGGCAGAGTCGTATTTCCTATGCATCCGGAATAGATATTAAAATGAGAAAACTGATGTGATCTTTGTGGTAGTGAAAAAAGATCTATCGACTATACCAAATATTCTGATTGTTTATAGTCTATCATAAGTTTCAGAAGGGGCACTTCGACATGGTTCAATGTTTAGCAAGCTTGTCCTGCTACATCAGTTACAACTGATAGTGATTTCGATCCCCACTGTGTCTTGTATTACATCTAAGTTACTCTTAGAAAATCAATATAGGCTCCAGAAGAAGGTTTCTATTTTAAAACATGAAAAGATTTTATTAGCTAGAATCCTCTATTAATATATTTTACTTTTTAGTCAGAATTGATTGATTCATTCATTTTCTATGGGTTAACAACCCGTTCCAGGTTATTTAAAGCCAGAAAATATTTTTTACATTGTAAGAATTCTGGGGCGATAATAATGGTTCAGTGACACAAGTCTTACTAATGAACCCATATCTTGTGGAGAAAATAGGTGGATTCATACCTTTGCTTGTGCGTAAGTAAATAAAAGAAACATAACGGAAATTAGAACTCGACTCTCCGATTAACAATTCCGAGCCATTATCCATTACACCGGCCGCACATCCAAGTTTACAGCACCTGGTATTCCCAAGAGGTCACTCTTCTAGGTACTGACCAAGCTCGACGTTGCTTAACTTTGGTGATCATACGGGAACCAGTGTTTCAACGTGTTGTGATCGTAAGCTTTTTCAGCCAGAAGTCATGCGTCAAGCCACCTGCGCAAGGACGAGTTTTGCTTATTTGCATTTGTAGCTACGGAAGTGTTAACTTCTGTTTTCGCATCCGGTTCACTGCATATATACAGCCTCAATCCTGACCTTAACATATAATAAGAAGTTAAAAAAAAACATCCTTAACATAGAAATTCCGTTGTTGCGCGGCCATATGGGTGATGAATTTTTTTTACCCTCCCGTCCCTTTCCCACAGATTAAACATTGCTAAACTCTCGCTACTCTATCGCAGCTAGGACTCTCTGTGTTACGTATAATGAGTTGACTCATCTTCATTTCATTTGTATTCCACTGGTAAGGAAGAAATTTTTACTCAGACAGCATCTTCTCCAGAACTGTTGCATTGTGGACTCCTGAGTGGATACTTCTCCGGTCACTACAAACTTAACTTCTTCAAGTTTAGGGTCAACCGCTGTCTATCCTTCATATCCTCATAATATGTACCTTTGCTCCCCCATACTGTACGCACTTACGACAACTTCATTTAGTAACCTTCTACACTGAGTGGAACTTGAGACTGGTATTTGATGAATAATAGAACAAGAATTCTGTACTTTTCGTTTGTGGAACTCTTTTCCGACATCTTGCATTCCAGTTAACTTTGATCTTCAAAAAATTAAATGCAATGTTAATCGTCATCTTATATTTTCTTCATTCCTTTTTTTTTTTTTTTTTTTAATTGTTCTCTCTCCTTAATAGTGATTTTTGTCTCTCCTATTCTTTCACACTTAGAAATCGCTTGTGGCTTTATTATCTTGTTTGGGGTGAAATGATTAAAAAATAATTTTAAAAAATCTTTAATAAAACTCCTGTCAATATGTATGTGCAGATGTTTACTGAATCCGGTAATTTGCATCAGTATATATTTTATTTTATTTTCTTAGGTGCTGGCTTCGCGGATCAGTTCAGTGGATTTTTACTGGACCTTTGTATTTCGTTTGTGGGGTGAGTAAACGCAATTAAAATAGTGTCATCCTTTCTGTTGTTTGTGTGTGTGTGTTTTTAAAATTAATATAGTATTTATAATTCCATTTAATTTCTTTTTTTTCCATTCATTTCGTTTGAAAAGAAAAAGATAAATTCCTTTTATTTTATTTCGAGAAACTTTTTTTTCTTTCAGTTCAATTTCTTGGTTTTGTTGTTTTTACTTGGAAAAAGATGGCAGAAAGATAAGGATAAAGAAGAAAGAGTGAAAATAAGCGTCAGGATAAGGTAAGTGTCTTTCCAAGATTTGCTTCTTCACTCAAATGTAATAAACGCTGGGTTAATTACGTACAAACAATATGGAAACAAAAAGAAAAAAGAATCTAAAAATTGGCTAGATTTTATAACCAAAACACATGACAAAAAAATTTCTATTTAAAATTCCCAGTGTCTCTCGTTCGTGCGCATGTGTAGTCGCATCAACGTAAACAACCGAAGAAGTCCGAAGAAGTCCTAACTGACGAAACGCGTCACTTGAAAACTTTTTCCACTTCGTCATACATCTTTCCTCCAAAACAGTTCTTATGCAAAAATTTATACATCGTTATATACCGAGAGTTGGCAGTCTGTTTCATACTTGAGCGCCATCTTCAGGCCATTTTATTTAGAAAAAGATGACAGAGAAACGTTTTCCTTTTGTCTTTCATTCATATTCATATTTTCTTTCATTTAGATCTGAATTTTTTTATACACACACACACACACACACACACACACACACGTTTCTTTTTCTCTCTCTCTCTCTCTCTCTCTCTCTCTCTCTCTCTATATATATATATATATATATAGTTGTATATTTGGGCAGCAATCCTTCTTTTATGCATGTTTCATTAAAAACGACAGACAAGGTACTACGGTTAAGTTTTTTATTTAATTTTTTTTTGTGTTCTGACAAGAGCTTTCTTTTCTGGACAAAGGGTGTGTAAGAACTGTCCAAATGTTTTATATTTCCGAGCGCATTCGATTTTCAATTTGATTGAGTGTGTGCGTTCTGTGTATGTATTAGTGTGTGGTAGGGATGTTTTTAATTTCCGAATACGGTTAGCACGTTGTGGCTTTGTTCGTAGTTAATATTGTTAAGAGTTGGCTTTTTCTTTTTTATTATTAAAGCTTCCATTATTTTTAGTCTTTTTTGCAGTTAATATATTTGTGTTTTCTACTAGTATGTTCCTAATGGAATCAGGTAAATCTGTGTGTGTGTGTGTTTAAATGGGTTCTAATGGAGCTGTGATCAGATAGGTGTAACGTAAGACGTCTGGAATTAAAAACATCCCTACCACACACTGATACATACACAGAACGGACACTCAATTAAGCAAAAAATTGAATCATCCTTGATAATGGCTAAAGGTATAGCCGAAAGCGCTCGGAAATATAAAACAGTTGGACAGTTCTTATACACCCTTTGTCCAGAAAAGAAAGCATGGCACGGGGTTGGTCCATCTTAGCTTTAGTAGCCGTCTTTCTGAGAACGAGAATGAGCTATACTAGGGCTGGTTTAGCCCAACATCGTAGCCTGCTACAAAACCAAATCATTAACCAAATCATTAACCAAATCCTCGAGTCATGTTCTTACATAGTTTCATCATCAAATAGAGACTTACAAAATGGATGCTATGCATAAAACTCGTTCAGAAATCTCTCAACTGTCAGCTTTATTCAACCGTTTTCTCAGAACGTAATAATTGAGCCCAAGTAAATAGCACGAAGCCTATTATTGTCAAATTGATTCATTTAGCTAGGGGCCAATAACATGAACTGTTCTCACATAATCCTGAATGATAAAATCTCAGTAGATAGTCCGAGAAATTTTCCGACACTATTTTGTATATTTTATTTTATTGCTGCTCAAAGCCTTCACGAAATAAATCCAATCTACTTTGAAAGAAGCGAGAAAAAATTTATTGCTCGTTTTTTACTTCCGGCAAAACCTCAGCAATTACTTGTGTCAAATTCTATCCAGAATGCTGCTCTCCTACAACGGCATTCAACAAAGCTTTCATTAAAGCTGTTAATATGATATTCACCCGTCCTGGGTATGACGATAAACTACATCCGTGTCCTGGGTAAGACGATAAACTACGTCCAACAGCAAGGTCTCTGATCAGGAGGTTTTGAGGACCTCTTAATTGCTGGTGTGCCTAGGTCCACCCTGACCCAGGGTGGTAGCACCTGTTAGGGTCCCAACTATGGGCGAGTAGTTAACCCCCAAAGTGGGGTCAAAACACTATGAAAGTGTAAAAATAGGTCTTAATACCAAAAATACTTTGTAACAAAAAAAAAAAAAATTATTACCAGCAATACATTATTTTCAGTAATACATTTTAGGCAAAAAATATTTTACTAGCAATACTTTTTTGAAAAAAATATTAGAAATGGATTTTTTGAAGGAAAAATATTACTAGCAATACATGTTTGAATAAAAATATTACCAGCAATAAAAATCTTGTCGGTTTTATATAACCCATTGAGGTTGATATGCCGAAAAAAAATAACAAACCAAAACTAATATGATATTCACAAGAAAATAACGTTGTAAATATACTGTCATTCAACCAACACAGATGATTTGCATTTTTTTCTTTTTACGAAGTGTTTCCTTTGTCGCCTATGTCTATAGTTTGAAATATTTCCCATATTTTTTGCAGGAGATTCATTATGTGTTTTCTGGCAGAAAGTCAACCTTTGGGTTTCTTCTGGTTATTCGGACTAGTTCCTACTAATGGTTATGTGACACTTCCTATACATTGGATATTTGTCGCCATAGGTGGTCCCCAGGTAAGACCATTTATTTATATAACACTCCGGCCTTTTTTTTTATATCTATCTATCTATCTATCTATCTATCTATCTATCTATCTATCTATCTTTTCAAATTTATCTATATAAATATCTTTTTAAATCTATCTGTATAACAATATTTTCAAATCTATATAAATATTTTTTTCAAATCTACGGATCTCTTTTCAAATCTATCTATCTATCTTTTCAAATTTATCTATATAAATATCTTTTTAAATCTATCTATATAACAATATTTTCAAATCTATATAAATATTTTTTTCAAATCTACGGATCTCTTTTCAAATCTATCTATCTATCTATCTATCTATCTATCTATCTATCTATCTATCTATCTATCTATCTTTTCAAATTTATCTATATAAATATCTTTTTAAATCTATCTATATAACAACATTTTCAAATCTATGTAAATATCTTTTTTCTAATCTCTTTTCAAATCTTTCAAATCTATCTATCTATCTATCTATCTATCTATCTTTTCAAATTTATCTATATAAATATCTTTTTAAATCTATCTATATAACAACATTTTCAAATCTATGTAAATATCTTTTCTAATCTACGTATCTCTTTTCAAATCTATCTATCTATCTATCTATCTATCTATCTATCTATCTATCTATCTATTTTCAAATTTATCTATATAAATATCTTTTTAAATCTATCTATATAACAACATTTTCAAATCTATGTAAATATCTTTTCTAATCTACGTATCTCTTTTCAAATCTATCTATCTATCTATCTATCTATCTATCTATCTATCTATCTATCTATATATATATATATATATATATATATATATTTTCAAATCTATCCACCTATCTTTCTTTTTCTTTTTTTTTTAAATCAATTCAACTAAAGCAAGGTGATAATGCCACTAAGTTGCAAAGGGCTGCTGGGAATGAAAAAGTATGAGAAGACTCTAGGAGGAGCCAGAAACCCAATCCTAGACAGGAAACAAGGGATAAATCTCTATTCCTCTTATCTGTCTATTTATCGATCTGTCTTAGTCGTTTCATATCTATCTATCTATCTATCTATCTATCTATCTATCTATCTATCTATCTATCTATCTATCTATCTCACTCTGTTCATATATATCTATCTCCCCTCTTATAATGAATTTATCCGAAAGCCCCCTCAAACAGAATACGGCACA